GGCTAATCGCTGAAAAGAGCTGTTTGAATAAGTAAACACCAAGACTTGAAAATCAAAACAAAAGTGAGTCCCTAGTGAAAAGAAAGCAAATGAGAGAGTGAGGATCTTGAGAGGGTGAACAAGTGAGAAAAGCTTTGAGTGGAGTGTGGGGGGGTGATGAGTCTTGCCAAAGTTTGGTCGTTCATTGAGTGATCCCATTGTTGCATTGCACCCGCTTGAATATTGATGAGATCATTTTTATCTCATGACCTTACCCTAGCCAAGCCAGCCTATTTGAACATTGCATCATTTGATCCACCGGTTACTAGCTTAATGAATGTGAAAGAGTTGAATGTGATAATGACTTGTGGAGATTCCGTACTTTAGTTGGAAAATGTCTGAGTATAGCTTTACATTGCATATTTGAGCATGAATCCGAGTTCTCTTTGTGATCACTTCTCTCTAAAAAGGAAATATGAGCTCCATATGCATTACAACCTCTCTCTCTCATTTATTCTCTTCGCTTGAGGACAAGCAAAGGACAAGTGTGGGGGAGTTGATATGTCTATATTTTACATCATTTGAAGTGCATTTTAGAGTCCTCATCATGTGTTTTCCCATGTAAATTGAGTCTTTAGGCATGAAAATAGGATTTAGGGCTTGCATTAGGTCCCAAAGAGTTTTGCATGTTTTGAAGTCTTTATCAGGAGCTTTGGGAGTCATTTGGAGCTTAAGAAGAGGAGCAGAGAAGAAGACGGTGAAGAAAAGGGTCAAAAATGGTGGAAACCACTTGGAGGAATTTCTCGGCCAAATCGCGTACCGGACGGACAGAAACCTCGGTCAAAATCCTTACCGATCGCTCATTACCGGCCAAAATCCTTACCGATCGCTCATTACCGGCCAAATTCCTTACCGATCGACCAAAATCAGCCTGGGTCGAAGATCGGGTGCAAAATACCACGAGTTGAGTTTTTGGCCGAGGCGAGGGAATTTTTACGACCAAAAAGCTTACCGCGGTACACAGCCCTCGGTCATTTTCCTTACCGCGGGAAGCTTTTCTCGACCAAAATTTGTCCTTGTCCGCGCATTTCAAAGATCTGCAATCCGGGGAACCTTCCGGTCCAAACCAGTTGGCGGGGTCTTCAGCAAAGTTGGAGATAATCAAGCAAAGATCCCAGAACAGTTGGAATCATTCAATTCGGACCAGTGGGGAGAAAGATACAGCCTCCGGAAGATGCACCAACATTACGCGCATCCGAGAACCGAACAGCGGAGTCCAAAGGTCACGGCGGACGGAGCCTTTCCGGACCGAATCAGCTTGCCCGGTCTTCATCAAAGTTTGAGATCTGTGAAGGGCCTTTTCAGAACAGTTGGGATCGCTCAGTTTGGAGCAGTGGTTCGAAAGATAAAGTCTCCGGAGTTCACATCGGTCCAAAAAGCTTATTTTCTGGTGATTCCAATGCGGTTCAAAGATGTGAAATCCAGGAAGCCTTCCACTTCCCAAGCTCTGACGGTTTCTTCACCAAAGTTCGAGCTTATTGAGTCATCTTGCCTATGGAACTGGTACCAGAGCTTTAGGAGTCTTGGATTGAAAGTTACTGTCTCCGGAAGGCAACATGGTCGATACGAGCCCAAATTAGTTGCGATACGCGCTAAGTATTTTCTCAGGGCTCGGTATCATTACCTCGACATCGGCCAAGTCAAGGCTCATATTTTGGGAGTATTCTGAACTAGGCCTCGTGCTGATGCCTCAGCACGTTGGAATCAAGGCATGCACACGTAAGAAATGAAGCTGGAAACGACTAAGTGTTGAACATGTACCTCGGTGTAATGACCTCGGCGTGCATGCCGGACCCTGTTCTCCCGAACCCCTCGACTACCAAGCGCCTCGGCATTTTATGCCGAGGTCCATCGTCACAAACCCAGAATCAAGAACAAGGCGGCTCAAGAACACACACGTGAAGATGGATCAAAGACTAGGGTTCATGCATGTTCTTGACGTGTTCTTCACGAGATCTTCATTTGGATCTGGACTCACGTGCACTCCTCGACATGAAGACCTCGGCTTCACTCTCCGACACGCCGTGGCGCTCCCCCATCAACCCAAGAACGCGGTTCAGTACCCGGTTTGTTCCGGGCTGACCCGCGACACTTTCCCTTTGCTATAAATACATTTTGAGACTAAAAACCTAGGGGATTATCTTATCTGTTTTAGCTCTAAGAACTTACCTCTTTTGTGAAACTTGATTAATCTAATCCGATATCTCGTTTTTGCATCAGAAATCTTGTTCTTTCTTTATTTCCTTTATCATCAAACATCAAACTCCTCATCATGACAAGCTACAAGTCTTGCAAAAGACTTAGTGAGCTCGTTATGATTAGAGAGTAGTCGTTTAAGCGGCTTTAGATGAGTAGATTAGGGTGCTTTCAAGGGAGATTAGTGGGTTTAGGTGTCTAGTCTTGCATGTTTCATTCTTTAACCGACGAGATCTCTAGGCTGGATCCAAGCACATCACTTGAGGTTCAGATCTGAGACATATCTCGCATCAAAAGTGTTTGTAGAAATGTCTGAACCACTCGGTTAAGGGTTTAAGAGTCTTTCATCGCGAGAGTGATAGTTTGTTCTTTTAAATGACATTTTTGAACTGATTCTTATTGCTGATTGATTCGTGCTTCTCAAAAGACATTTTTGGTAGGAAGGAGGATCAGTTTAGATGCTTAATACTTTCATGAGAAGATTAACATGCCTTGAGTTCAAAGTTAAATGAAACCGCTTGATAAAATGATTCATTAACCCACTAGTTAAACTTGGAAGCACCCGAGTCGATTACCTCGTCTAAAGTCTCTTCTTTTATTGCATATTGTCATCATCTGAATCGTTTAGTTGTCATTTGGATCTTAGCTTTGTTTAAATCTCGTTGATTGCCTTATTTCTATGCTTATTTGCTTGCCACTTAGTTAGTAAAAACCTTCACCTTTCTGTCTTGACTTTAGTGAACAAATAACATGTACTAGTGTCTCGTTGACAAGCCTGGATTGACACCTCTTTATGCTACTTTGACAAGGGGATTGATAGCCCTGAGACCCTAAAAAGTCTTGTCTATCAGTCTGGTGTGCCATATCCAGTGAAGAAAGTCAAGCCAAATTCATCAAAGGTCTTTCCACAAGCTTTGGAGTCTTATCGATTTTACATGCCTTGAAACACTTGTGTTTGCAAGGATTATCAGTTTCATTCCAGTGCTTGAGTGTTGATCTAGGGATCATATCACCACCCTAGCTTACACCTTAGCTCCAAGTCATTACTTGCTTTGGAATACTTGCCTGCACTACTCCATACTAGTTCCACTGGCACAGCTATTGCTTCAGAGACAGCTGCATCTTCAAAGGTCTCATCTAATAAAATGTTTTTTTAAAAAAAAAATAACTAATAAAATCCAATACAAACAAAAATTGAGAATGTGATTAGGTTAAGTCTCATTCTTTAATTAAAGAGAAAATGTTTTAACGCTACTTGTGATTAACGTAAGTGAACTTTTTTATATTTTTTTGGAATTGAATGTAATATTTAGGCAACATAAAAAACGGTGTTATGAATGATGTACACTTTTTAATTGAAAGTTTATATATAAGAACTAGAATAAATGCTACTTGAATCTGAATTTCTAGGTGGATGAGTGAGACACCATAGCGTCATTCCTTCGTTATATGATCGATCTCCCATGCTTCAAATTGAATTAATTCGGTTGCAAACATTTTATGATGAGCTTAATCAGACGAGTAAAAGGAAGATAGGGCTCCCTGTGGTTTTGGTCATTTCTTTCACGCCATATGTGATAGAATGTAGCTTGAAACACGTAAAAGTAAAAACAATTATCCGATAATGAGCTTTGTTTACGATGTTATTTTATTTGTTGGTCTCATGGACCGGTCCTATCGATATAGAACTTGAGTTTGTGTTGGTCCATAATCCTAAGTGTTATGGGGTAATCTTATAAAATTATTACACTCTTGAAATATTTCAAAATTACTCATGTGAGAGTTTTGACATTCGAGTTTTTTTCTCTTTTAGAACTGCGTTATGAATCACATTACTTTGTTTGTATTCTGATTCTTTCTGATTTCCGACCAAGTCTTATAGTATATTTTACTAACTTGAGCATCCAAATATCTTCGAAAAACACCTCACCTGTGTGTTACCGATTCCACGTATTTGTTACGTCTTGAAATAGATTTGCCCTCTAGTGGCTGGACTCATTGAACGAAATTTCTCTAAAATTTGGTGCTAGAAGGAAAATTTATTCTCAGAAACCAACGAAGCACAATGACAGAAGCAATGAGGGACTAACTAAAGATCCGACTCTCCTATATATTGAATGGTTAGAACCTTTACCTACACCGAGATAAAAAGATAACCCTTACGAGCGGCGGCTCAAACCTTGGCGAGACCCGATGCGGTAAAGAAAAATGGGCCTTAATACCCCAATTTTTTTGTTAAACTGATTAGAATTAAAAAAACTTTGTTCAAGAAGCATAAGGCGTAAGCCAAATAAGCTTAGATATCATCGGCTTTTTTTTTTATTTTTTCAATTAAAAAACAATTGAGCTTTGTATAATTTTTTAAGTTGGGCCCTGGACCCGGTGCATTTGCACCTCCAGTATAGAGCCAGCACTGACCCTTACATATGCATGTGTAGAAAACACCATTTAACCCTCCTTGAAAACTAAAATATCAAAACATATTCATTATGTAATTAAAGGCATGTTAGTAAATTGAAGTTTGAGGACTTGTATATTTTAGTATTGAGCCTCATGGCATGTGAACGAACAAAAAGAAAACCCTTAAAATTGAAACTTCATAAATCTTTATTTAACATCTTACTAAAAAAAAAAAAAAAAACTTCATAAATCTTTACCAAAAGAGAACGTCTATTCTGTCATGTATAATTTCATTTTATGCTTCTGACTTCATGAAGGGCTAGAGCTCTTAGTGAGCTCTGATAAACCCAAATAGTTACCTCGTTATTGATCAATAAAAAAACTTCAAAGAAAAAAAACTCCACACTCATATTTACATCACATGCAATGCGGACATTATTTTTGTGATAGCTACACGCCTACACTACAAGAGAAATGCCGTTTCTGACTACATTTCCAACGACCCTTTTTACGTTGGAAAGTTTGGACGGATTACCATTGGATTTATGACGATCTCATACCCATCGATTTTTGACGATTAATTTAGACCTTCCTAAATCGGCTTTTTCTTGTAGTGCTAAGACAAAATACCTAGCAGATAAAAGGGAATAAAGACTTGGAATCTGAAAATGGCCAAACGTAAAGTGTTATGACTAATGATGCGTGAAGACGCAATCCTAGACGATGATAACTTCTTCTTTAATCTCTTGTTGACTTTGCTTTTCACCATACCTTTGTATTTTCTCATCTTTAGTTTTACCCCATAGACCAAGGTATAGTCCACTCACCAACAGCAATGCTCCGCCAATACTGCTCCAATTTTATCCCCATGTCCAATCACACACGTTCTCAATATCGAATACTAAAGAGATATATAATCAAATAATTCATATATTCTTACAGAAAAACAACAAACCTTCCAAGATATAGAGTTTCCTTGAAAAGGAAAGATGAGATGATGCAAGTAATGATGAGAGCTAAAGGAGTGTAGAGTGCAGTATATACGGGTCCCTTCTTCTCTATTGCCCATACTTGTAACCAATATGTGAATCCAGTTACCATAATCCCCTGTTTGATTGTGTTTTATCATTTTTAGAAAAGAAAAGGAGTGATTTCATATTTATTATTATTAAGAGTGTATAGATGGGATTAATTAGTAGACATACACAATAAGCCATCGAGAGAAGAGGTAAGCCAAATTCGATCTTCCAAACCGATGGACTTCTGTTGACAGTGACTGCCCAAACTGCGGTTTGTATGCAACTAAACGCGCATTGAAGTGTTACCAATCGCAACTTTGCGGGGTATTCCTTCATCACCTTGCTCTAACAATACAATCAATAAAAATTGTTAAAGAAAGTATTTATTTTCTTAAAAGTAGAAATCAAATAATGAAAGTATTAAGGTAAGAGAGTTCATTTGAGTAGTAATCTCTATGGATATATTCATTAGATGGTCAAAAAATAAAGGACAATTATATAAAAGGGCCGATACCTTAACCAGATCAACAGGGTTTGGCTCATTAATTCATCTCAATAAAATATTCGAATGGGACTGGGAGCCTTGAAAAGCTGCTTAAATTTATAGAAAATTTTAATTTAATTCATCTCAATAAAAAATAAAATCGAAACTAAATTTATAAGGAGCCTTGAAAAACTGCTTAAAATTTTCGATGTTATCATATTTTTTACCAAATTAAAATTAATCAAAAGTATAAAACATATTACATATCAAACAAAAGATGAAAATTTTGACAGTGTTTATATACTTTGTTGATTTAAAAGTAAAGTTAGGGCTTCTTTGGTATATAACATATATGGATTGCAAATTGGGAGCTAAAATTTGCAATATAATGTGGTGGTAAAACCATACTTGATTTAAACAAATATCATCTTATCGTAGAAATTAGTGTGTTATCGGATAAATTAACTTGATATTATGTTGAAAACACACCCAAATTTCATGTAATTTTAAGAAAACGCATGCGATAAATGATTCAACTTATTTACGATTTTGTTATCCATTGTTTTTGCAAATTACGGTTTATATAATGCTATTATTCTTTTTAACAAAATAAATAAATAAATAAATATAATGCTATTAGCCGATCCCAAAAAATTTCAGGTTAAAAGCAAAAAAAATTTTGGCGCCCTAATCATTTATGTAAGAAAATATTTAACTTTTTTTAAAAAAAAATGCCAATGTTAAAAAATGTATATTAAAATACAATAGAACCAAATAAAAACCAAGCAAATCTTCAAATGAATGATTAAACAACTTAAAAATTCTGTTCCTATATCACTTTATAACTTAGAAACAGAAAAAAAAAATTTATTAATAGAACTAAAAAGAACGAAAAGCCAGCAGACAAAAGAGAAAAAAAAATCACCTTGTAATTGGAAAAAAAAATCAGAGAAATATAATGCAATTTATGAAATAGAAGAAAACTAAACTATAATGTCGAAACAGAATAACACCGAACAACGATTGAAAGAAAGCTTGCCGGCAAGCGACAAGGATGAATGGAAAACGGTCACTCACAACAAGTCGATTATGTCTACTGGTAATTAGATTTGTTTAAATTAGCTGCTTCTTTTTCTTTCTTTATCTTTATTAAATCTAATTAATATATTTTCTTTTTATAAAATCCGTTTTAATTAAAAACATAAAGATAAAGAAAAGAAGAAAAGGTGTCGAAAAAAAAAGAAACACGTATTTGAAAAGGTGTCGAAAAAAAAGAAACACGTCATGAATTAAAACAAATCATAAACAAAGAAAAAAACAAAACTACATAAGCACTGTGGTTTTAATTAAAAACATAAAGAAAAGAAAAAAAAAGTGTCGAAAAAAAAGAAAAAAAAAAGAAACACGTATTGAATTAAAACAAATCATAAACACAGAAAAAAAAAAACAAAAGCACATACGCACTGCCAAAGGTTGGAGCTCACGATCCAAATAAGGTAACTCAACTTCTAAACCATCAAGACCACCTCATTTTCTTTGAATTTGGCCCCTAAATTATTTTTAACTTCATAGGCTTCTAGCAATCCCACGCCCTTGAAAAATAAAAAGTTATCGCCGTGATGCATAGATGTGTAAAAGGCAAAATGATATACCAGTGATGTGACAAACCATTTATATATAGAGGAAACTTTAACAAAAAATGACGCAATGATTAAACAATAGAGAATGCAAGAATTATTACGCAACTAGTGAAGTGATTGGCATACCTGCAAGACAATCCACAAACACCAGCAGGTATTGGCGGCAAGCATAGTGAAGGATCCTTTTACAGAATCTTTGGTCGATGGAACGTCGTCATTTGAGATAGTCTTGCTCTTATAATGGTTGATCAAACTTGGCCCTTTCACAAAGGCGAACACTAATGCGCCCAACATTCCAACAATCGAACCAAATACTTTGGCCACTCCGTGTGACTTTTTCAGCGTCACCGTCTCTAATCTTTTGTTTATTTCGTTGTCAAAAATTAATTGGGTCAATTCAGGTTGGTGTCAGTGGGAAAATCATCAACTGAATTCTAGATATATTGGTTCGAACTATATATTTTAGATAACTTTGTTCTGTATCGCCCCTCTACCAAAGATATTTGACCAAATTATAAACAAGTACACAAAGGATATATAAATTTACTTAAATTGTATATTTACCAATAATTTAATATATATATATATATATATATATATACTATTTTTTTGTTTTTTCTTGTAGTCGAAGAGACATTCTTAAACATACTACGGAATGTATCTTGAAAATAACTTAGGTCATATAATTATTATTTTACAGGATAAAATTCTAGAATAGCTTTTAAAATTTAACAAAAAAATGTATCTTGAAAATAATGACAAAATCCATTATTAATTATTATGATATACAATATCTAATGAAACTAATAAATGAATGGCATGGAATGGAATGGAAGTCTTACAAAATTAACATTTGGTTCTAATTTTTCTACTCAATTAAAATATAAAAGTCAAATAATTTGGGTCTCATATTTGCTCTAAGAATTTTAAAAGAAATACTTAAATACATTAAAGCAATTTAAGATTCTATTTGATTACTACACTTTAGCTTTTATCATAAATTATAAAAAAAGTTAAACCAAAGTATTCCACCTGAGTTTCATTTTTCGAACTAAAATTTTTTATATAAATTATGGATTGGATAGGAGCGGATACCGAGTCAGAAACCGGATATCGAATAATAATTCCAGACCTAATTACAACACGAATAAAATACAAACATAAGAACAAATAAAAAGCAACAGAAGTAGCAAAAGCTTTAAATCATTTTTTCTTTTTGAAAGAAGTTTTACCCCACCACTGATTAAAAAATTAAAAAAATAACAACTTGGATCCACAGAACATATGTGAAGAGAGACAGAAGCTTTGTCTAACATACCGGAATAGGAGAGCCAAGATAAAAGTGATAGAGGGGATGGCGTTAGTGGTGGCTGCCGCGAAGGTGGCGGTGGTGTTGTTGATAGCCACGTAGAAGAGGTTAAGACTTGGCGTGAGTCTGGGTTTTTCAACAATATAATATAACTTGATATTGATTTGATCGAATAGTCTTAATACGAAAATTTTCTAAAATATAGAAGAGGCAATGGACATATATATACCCGCATAAGGAGATCATGAAAATTTTGAACAGCAAGACGAAAGACAGAGGGGAGGATTTGGAGCTGCAAATCACCATTAAAATATGAGAATTTGGTCCTATTTGATTCCTACTTACGATCACTAAATCATATTCGTTGAAAGGGCCATTAATATCACGCTTTTTGTTTTCCTGTTTTGTTATAAGTGATCACTTAAGAGTAGTAAAAGAAAAGAATAACCTTTCAAGGAAGAATGCAAAAGGGGACAAGGCAAGAAACGCAAAGGCTTGTCGGTAGAAAACAAAGACAAAATGGTTGGTTCCTTGAGAGATGGCCACTTTTGATAGCAATGGCATTCCTGCGTATACAATTTGTACAAACACCATTGCCATGTTGGCTTTGTGGCTCATCATCATGGAGAATAGTGATGTATGTTTGTTTGTTTTTCTTTTTATGTGATGAAGCTCAGTTTGCTTCTCTCCCGCTATTTATGCTTTCTGTTTTGGTGGCCACTTCAAAGCTTTTTTGTCTTCTTTCGGTGTCACAGTCACTATAGAAAATATGAACACGTGTACTTCCATCGAGATTAAATTCACATACGTTACAATCAAAACAGCACCCACATCTATTCATAGGGTTTATAACGCCTTGTAGCGGTATCTACATGTGCTTTATCT